TTATTTTTATGGTTCTGAAATCCACAAAAAAAAATTCAATTCAACGTTAACCGTCTACTCGCTACGAATCTTGTGAAAAACATTAATATCTTTTAGCCTGTAAAATGAGAAAGTACTTTCTTTGTAAAAATATACTTTTGATAAAAATATATATCCATTATTCGTTTTTGAATCGATTTTAAATATCTAATAACCACCGAAATTTAGGGAAACCAAATCTTTCAATTGGCGTTATAATTTCATGAATATTACAGATTGTGCCAGATTATGGGCCTAACATGGGCTAAAAATTGACGCTTTTTCAGAATGAGGCAGAATTTATTCAACAACTTCGAATTGAGACGAAAAAACACTGCTCTGATCCTTTACTCGATGACAAAGCTGAATACCCACGATGTATATAGATAAAGCTAGTATATATTTTCAGTTCACAATAATTGTTTTCATTAATACATGTATGTTGACTTGATATATCCCTGTAAACTTCATAAAAAAAGATACAAAAGATGCATAGTTGTTTCATTTGCAGATGATAAGAATATAATGCTACACATGAAGGGAAGTTGAAAGAAAAAAAATAATTTAAGTCATCACGTGTTTCATAAAGATTTAGTCTTTGATTACATTTTTTCCTAATTAATAAAAACAAATGCCAAAACAGTTTAAAACAAGATGTGTTTGTGAAACACTATGCGCCCGGCAGCAACAAAGTTCGAAAAAAGCTATTTTTAGCATATAGGTCACAGTCAAGGTCCCAAGGTCATTGACCTTGGTGTCATTTCAAAGAACTTGATTAGTAGAATATGCATACTAAATATGAAGTCTCTATCTTTTATGGTTCAAAAGTTATGGCGAAGGTTAAATTTTGCAGAAAAAAACTATTTTTAGCATATAGGCCACAGTCAAGGTCACAAGGTCATTGACCTTGGTGTCATTTGAAAGAGCTTAATTAGTGGAGTATGCATATCAAATATTAAGTCTCTATCTTTCATGGTTCAAAAGTTATGGCGAAGGTTAAAGTTTGGGGACAAACAAACAGACAGACAGACAGACAGACAGACAGACGGACAGACAGGACAAAAACAATATACGCCTCGGATCTATCGATCCGAGCGCATAAAAAAGTAAATACATGTATCACATGCATTGTTTTTGGCTTGTTTGGTTATCTTCTTCTTTCCTTTTTCTGTTATTAGTATCATCTAAAGGTCTAATTCATATTTTAATTTCATACATCTGTCTGACATATACATGCAATGAGTGTTCACCTTCCTATTTTTTAAAATGCACTTTCAAATATGTATTTCTTATACACAATAAAATAGAAACTTTTCTGGGTTATATTTAATTTAAAATGTTTTATTTATTATTTTATCTCTTTCTTTTTTCTGTCATCCTTGATGTTTATGGAAATTTATGTTTTTCTTGTTTTATTATAAATTAGATTCCCTTGCATGATGAGGCAGTAGAAAAGTGTTTAGTTGGTTGATTTGCGTGACAAATAATTGTGTAAAACCTATTGAAAAAACTGAAATATCCGATTATTGGAAAAAAGATGTTCAAAGATTATCGTTTATAGTGCTAAATCGATTTTAGGACAATAAATATGACATAAAGTAGCGTCTCCTCCACTCAGTAACGTAAAATATATTGTGGTTTACAATTTTCTCATATTGAAATTGATTACTAAAGGTATAGAAGCAGTAAAAGAAATTTTATATCAAGACAACATCCGATTTCTTAATACCATTTACATTTGGTCGGGAAATGATATTCCTGGGTTGTTTTGATGAAAAGCATTTAAAAGATAGTAAATTGTAATATCTTTCTCAGCAGTCCTGTCCTAAAAGACCACATTCTGTTTGTTGCCAGTAGCCAATACGTTCTGTGACCTGAGATATCAAAACTTTAAGAGAATTTCGTTCTCTAAGGAACATAATTCAAGCAAACTAAACTTAAGAGGAAGATTTAACAGCAAAACAACTTTACATGTATAATCGTTTATTCAAGGCACGTGTGGTAAAGTATACATCCTATAAAAAGTACTTTTATTGATACTTAATCTCATCTCATTTCTTGTACAAGTTCTTTTCAGGTTGATTTGCTTGTTTTAAATATACTTTTTTTGTAGTCATTTTGGGGGGATCGGACATTTTCATATTTTGCCTAATTTACATTCTGAGCATGTGAGTTTGATCTCCTGGTTTGTTTGTAAAATTGTCTTTGATTTCGTCTTTGGAATAAGTGACATTATTCTTCTCTTGAAGCGAGTTTTAGTCAATTTTATATATAGATAATACATGTAGTTAACAAAAACTAGCTGTGTTGAGCCTGATGAGCATTGAAAGACATAAAACGTTATAAAGATTGATTGATAGTATGCGTTAAAACAATTGCATTGAAAACCGAAATCTTGCATGTGTTCCAGATAAGATTACAATATAAAAGTCTTCACAATAATACTGAGGTTTTGAAAGACAGCTGGTTCGATGCCTGGTTATAAGTAACTACTGTTGATTCAAATAAAGGTAATGAAGTGATACTTATCTATGAAGAAACTAAGCTTCTTGTTTGTATTGATTAAGCCTTATGGGCCCAAGCATCCGAATTTATCCCCTCATTTCCTTTTCGCCTTTCACGAAATGGTCAGCACTATGATTAATGGGTTGCTATTTGTCGCTACGGATCCCCTGAAATGTGTTCCCTTCAGTAAATGATTTTATGTATTTGATGCTTAATTATAAAATTGACATGATGGTAATCTTGTCTTATTACTTGAAGAACAGAAAGAGTAACGGCAAAGAAATGGAAAATTTCACAAATCTTCTGATTTATAAGCTGATTAGTATCTTTATTTTTTTTTCTTTTACCTTGAAAACCCATTAGTCTAGAGCAACAGTTTTCAAAGTTCGCAAAACATTGTTAAAATTATGATGAATGATTCTGATGTAATTTTTTTATTCCACCATGAAAATATATACACTGTATATAGGAGAAAATTCAAGAAATATAAAGTAATTTGGAATGAACTCATGATCAGTAATCTATTCTACTACAAGCAGTGGTCAAAGCCAATTTTCTTCTTCGTTTTGCAGGATTCCGTTTACAGTTGTATGAAATATATTTTAATAAGTTCATTAGTTTGACTAATAAGACTAAAATCCTACGAGTTAATTACCATCATAAGCTTACATCTGTCATGATTTAATTATTTACCCTTAATACTGACGTTTAATATCAAGTCATTAAAGATATGATTTTTTTTTTTGGAAAATCTATCAAGCCAATGAAAATTAAAAAGATATACGGCTAATTAATTTACTTACCATCTTCCTGGGAGAAGGATACTAGCTAGCGTCTAAAAATAGGAAAGGAACAATGATCTCAACATAAAATGCAATTGGTCAGAAAGAGAAATAAGCCATGCAAAATAGAGATTAGCATTGACGAAGAGAAGTAGTCTAAAGTACATTCTCTAAATGTTAAAACTGATTTAAAGACAAAGAGACAAATAAATTGTTCTCTCTGTGCTTGATTTTACACCACCCACGAGATTAAAAGCAGATTGACGTTATTCACCTTTAGATCATGCAGTTGTTCGATTTTTACTTTTTGGAATTAGATAAATTCTTGACAAGGAGCTAAAATTTACAAAACAATTGGTTTATTTGCTCTTTTTCTGTTTTTATGACTGAGAGATACCTCACATACATTTAAAAGAGTTTAAATTTGGCTCATTTTGTCATTTCTCTATCAAACAATGATATATTTATCGGTTTGAGAAATTAAGGTTTGTTCACTTGCTGTTTTTTCTTTTGATTATGGTACGGTATGCCTCTGTTTATACTAATCTTTACATTAACTTTTATATAATTCAATCTGTGTCTTTTTAAACAACTAAAAAAATCAGAAAATATTCCCATTTATTGAGATTTCTTTTCTTCAAACCACACAAAATTCATCTATGAGCAGAATATCAATTCGATTTACACAATACATAGACAATAACCCAATTGCAAGCAGCTATGGCAAAGGTCTAGCTATTTTTTTGAAAGGTCGAATGTAAGACAACTCAAATCAGAGCGAGTGACAATATGGCTGATTAATTATTTAAGTGATGAAACAAACCAGGGTGTTACAAATGGTTAGTGTTGCTCCTGGAGGCACTCATTAATAAATCATTCGAAATCTTCTCTTGAGCATATCAGTTTAATGAAAGGTTAGATGTAATGATTATGCTTGTCATGATATCAACTGGGAGTCATAAATCTCTCGACCAATGGCTCAATCTAATGGTTCTTTTAGATGTTTTATGATAAAAATTACCAATTTCGTGTTTTGTTCAAAAGTAAGTCATCCTTTTGATTATACCTCATTTATTAATCTTATTTAATCATAAAAAAATAAAGTATGAGACAAGCAGCAGAATAGGTTTGTATGGGAGTTGTTTTTTGTTTGGAAGATTCAATTAGTATTGATTTATAATAATATTCGTTTTTTGTAAGTTTCACCCTAAAGGGATTACATATGAACAAAAAGTGTTGATTTAAGAAAAGAAAATATTAAGATAACAGAACTGGTTGAGTATGCATTCTTCAATGGTCTCTCTTTACAAGCCTTCCTAAAGTTTAGCGCCTTTCCAATTTCTTAATTTTTATAAAAATTGAAAATCGGATATATGTCTATAAAAAATTGATTGTAGGAGATTATGATATCCTGGAACTTCAGGAAATTATGGATTTATCATTTTGGTCTGAGATATGACAGATATTTCTTTATCGTAGAACGTGAGCTACTGGATCTTATAAGGTTGAAGGGTATTTCTGAAGCCAATTTATTGCTTGACCATCATCATAATATACTCATTTTTTGCACATCAGTGCAATGGCATAGAAATAAGCAATATACATATCTGTAGAAAGAACTTCTTGCTCAAAGAAGAATGATACAAATATATATATCATTTAGCGAAAGGGCTGCTAAATAAAAGGAAAAACACATTTATCTCTCCATTTTGTATTTATTTCAGCATTTATTACATCACAAAATATACTGCAGCAACTATACATACGAATTGGATATGTTACATTGTATCTAAGTAACAATGAGATTGATTATCAAGTGTGATTGGAAAATGTCTAGTATTTATACTTCATTTCACCTTAAAGTAATAGATGATTGCAGTTTTTTGTTGCATAATAAACCACAAAGATGTGTCATTATTTGTTTATTCGAACACGATGAAGTCATTTTGCTTTGTATATTTTTGTTAACGATATTCAAATAATTTTGACGACTTTAACTTTTTTCTATAAAAATAGTTGTTCTTTGGTCACCTTCGACATTGAAATATTGATAGATCTATATTTTTAAGTTTATAAAAAGCCAGATCCCAATCGGTCTAATCTTCTCTTGTCCATTTCTTGGCGCTTAATAAATCCAGAACTAAGTCTATCAAATCCCCTACGCTTGATAAAGCCAGAACTTAGTCTGTCAAAATTTCTTTTTAAAAATCCAGAATTCAGCCTGTCAAAACGACGCTTTATAAACCCAGATCCCAATCGGTCGAAGCGTCGTTTAATGAACCCGGATCCAAGACGGTCAAAGGTACTACGCCTGATAAAATCCGAGTTAAGTCTATCAAGGTATCGTTTTCCGGGGTCGTCACGCTTGATGAATCCTGAACTGAGTCTGTCAAAGTATCGTTTGTCTATATCTTCATTGCCTAAATCCTCTGCATATACATCGTCATCATAATTTCCAGATGCTCCATCATCCCGCTTTAAAAAACCCATAGAGAGCCGATCCAAACGACGTTTCTTTAGTAGTCCCATTCCTAAACGATCAAAAGTTCTCTTGTCAGCTTTCTCGGGAAGGTTCTGGTCGTCTTCTTCAGAAGCCATTTGAGCTAAGTAGTATTTGAGCCTTGGGACTAGTTCCTCTATCTTGGAGTCCGATTCTCTTTTGATAAATCCGCTCCCGACTCTGTCTAACATCCTTTTGTTTCTTGACAGCTTTTCATCTTCAGCTATGCCTGTTGTTCTGAAAAGGAATTTAAACAAAAATGGAATAAGATGAGGTTGAAGAAGAAGTTAACATATATAAATTGAAACAAAATAGATGATATATATTTAAATTATGTTTTAATTAGATAAAAGTTCAAACATCAAGTTTGCCATCAAGAGTGTGCTGTTGATTTTATTTTTTCACTTCTAAATTTTATTATATCTGTGGTGTAAATTTTTACATAAAATATTTCTACTCTGGGTAAAGTATTTATATTCTTCTCGAATTAAATTATAAAAATATATTAACATTCCTATTTTTCAGTTTTTCTTGTGTGATTGTTTACATACTTCATAAGACTTTCTTTCTGGTTACTAAAACGAATCATTAAATGATTTTTAGTAAAAAAAAAATCTCATTTTAAAATTATGAATTCATGCGATGGCAAAACAAAAGAATCAATTTCATTTTCATTTAAAATTTAAGATAATGAAGTGCATTTTTATGTAATTTATGAAATGTACAATAATTCATGTTTCCCTTTTCATACGTCGCTGAAATGTCAAAAAAATTGTTGCATAAGCCAGTATGATCATCAATTTTACGAGAAAAACGACTTTATTTGTAGGCGATATTTATTTGTCTTCAATATCTGGTCAATCATAATATTACAAAATCCCAGACAGGACAAATAAATGAAGTGTCATGCAAATATGCAGTAATGGAAAAATTCTTCGAGTAATAATTACTTCCATTGAAAACATTAACCTGAAAACTGCTTTTTTGCAATTAGCCATTAAATGATTTAAAATCAACAGAATTATTTACTTAGACCGTGCTGACACAAGCAAATGCATTGCGCAGTCTTGTATAGAACAAAAGGCAAGCTGTCAAATACTGCACTTTATTGTTTAATATTTACATGGTAAATTGACATAAAAACGTCACCTAAAATCCTTTTTAATCGCAGAGAGAGAGAGAGAGAGAGAGTCATAAAATATTGCTGCATTTTCGCATTTTAAAGCAAAACAAGTCTTTTTTGAGATTTTCAATATGTTGTAAAATTGGATGTCTATATTTTTTTTTTATTTTTCCTGGTATCCTAAACATTTCTTATCAATTATACTAAAACTAATAGATTACTAGTAATTCCATTAGGAGAAACTTTTTTTACTATGTAATGTAAAGCATTAGATTGGAAATTTACTTTTACACAAGCTGACAATTATATGATTTTGCTTTAATCGAGCTGCTTCTGAATATTTTTACTAAAACAGTTATTTAGAGTAGGAGTTTGTTAACCTATATTTTGTTTTCTTTCATAGAAACATTAAAACCGACAAGACAATTATAAACTTTACCTCACTGGAGATTTAACAGAATGAAAATCATATATAGCTTTCTTTAATTATAAATCCCCAAATCAATGACTTATTTTTCTATCATCCTCGAATTGGTCAATTCTTTACTGAAATAAAAGCGAGAGCTTTTGAATAGTGTCTCTGATTATCATAGAAAACCTGTAATTCTCTCAGATACGATTAGTCGACATTGATAACCATTGCACTCTGGTCTTTGCTGTTAATGATCATCTTCAATGCTTACGATCTATCATGTTTTTTTCTCTATGATTACGAATTCGGTATGATTTTAGGCCATAAATGATTATACACGTTTCTATTTTCAGGGGAATGTGCATTCAATGGTTATTTAACAATGCCTTATACAGAACAAAATAACCATAGCAAGTGCAAAATGGAACAAGGCCGGAATATGATTAATCCTAGGACAACCGCAACTGGTATTACAATGACACAGTTTGCAATGACACAATTATTGATTGTCAGTATAATCATGCTGATCTCATTGCTTCCTTTAGAAAAATAACTTTATCTTTTTTGTTCTTCTTTATTGATACAATTATGATATTACAAAATATGTCTTTGGGAAGGTGAGTTTTGAGAAACATCACGACAGGTCTGTCACGCAATGTGGAGGCTGATTGCATGCAGTGGATGTTTTGATCTTTAAATGATTTTGCAATAAGACAGATGGTTATCTACGTTTGGCAATGCATCAAGAACCCTTCAGCTTATCCTCCAACATCTTACATGATTGGTTTGTAATTATCTTAGTTTTTATTTTTTTGTAGACCAAAAAATTACAACAATCCTTACGCATGAATTGCAACTTGTTTTTTGTTATTATTAATATCGAAACAAAATTTTTGAGTGACAGCTTTACGTTCACCACAATTTCTATTGCCTTGACGGCAAAATTAACTTATAGTTGTTGGACAAAATAATGCTTTCTTTGTTAATAACAGAAGCAAACCTTTGCAAACAGTTGCAGAAAAATAAACAATCCTTCGTAAGCGAAAGACAATTTGTTTATAAAATAATTGTATAAGTTCGGTTGAAGTATGAGAAGTATTGTATTATTAATCTGCATGTGATCGTATGTTTCATTGAAGGAAGATCGTCCTTCTTAAAGATTTTGTCTTATACAAGTAGCTTTAAACACTCTAAGTTCAAGTGAACGAATTGATGGAAAGAAAATAGCTTTCATAAGAAATAAGTAGCTTTCATAAGAAATAAGAAAATATCAAGTTGAAGTTAATATAGGGCTCAGATTGATATATGTGCGATGTCGTGTTGACGAAGGCGAACGTAATGATGCTTACGTAAGTAAAAACCACTATAAGAGCAGGAGTTTCTGTGAAAAGTTGAGGACAATCCATTCTAATTAGTCAATGGAATACAAGCTAGTTAGTATAACAAAACAAGGTCAATGATTTACTGCAAGAATGCAGTTCATCAATAGTTTTATTGTCATTTATATCATTTACTGCATTACAGCCAATAGAGTGAAAAAGTTAATCCCCGCAAGAGAAAACAGAAATCTGTTTGTTACTTAAGGCCAATGCTCGTCGCTATTTATACAGAGCAAAGCAAAGAGAATATGTAACTCCAACCCAAACTGAGATCACATTAAATGGAATGTGGTGTAATATAGATTGATATGTTCAAAGAAGTAGGTATATCTTTACTGCCTTACAAAGACACTAGTATACAACACATTCAAATAGTTGTGAAGTCTCTTTTAACTGCATGGAACATCCGAAAACTTCTTCAAAATAACAAAATTATAATTTAAGAATAAAGTTAAATTCCCGTTAAAAAAACAAGCAACAACAAACATTTTAAACTAGTAAAACGAGGAAGAGAGATGTAATGCATTTTAAAAGTTTGAAAAGGATTTTTCTTCTTATTTCTTATTTGAACTTTTTCAACAAAAGAAATTTTGTTGTTTTTTTTTCTTTAATGTATCAGTGCATTAACCCAACCACAATTCACATTGGAAACTCTAAAAAAGAAAAACGAAAGAAAAGAAAGAAAAACGAAAACAAACAGCTTTACAAAATTAATTTGAAAGTTCATTTTTATGTAAAATTCATCATGTTTCCATTAACATAGAAGTATTTGGGCTTCTGATGATTTTTCATGTATCAATAATAACCCTGATGATTTTCCCTGTATCAATAATTACCCATCAGGCTCTCATCAGGTTCTCGTTGACCATTATGAATCTCGTGGATGAATCATAAGGAAGTTAACACGATGTCTCCCATGCATCGTATCACAATTAATTGGGAGAGAAAATACATTGTGATGAAATAATTCCTCTCCTATATACTCAGTCTCCCCCTCGGTAATTGATAATTTGCCAAGCTGTATACTTTATTCCGTCGGAAAGAAACATAAATCTTGGGAATATTATCTAGGGATAACAGAATTTAGATTTGATGTACAGTGCATCATTTGAAGAAAATGTGGGTAATCTTTGATTTAGCGTGTTCGAAAATATACTTATTGTTGGTCTTAGAGGTAAATATATAATTTTCAAAAAGAAAAACAATCATAAAGTCGATTTTTGATAACCAGTAGGAATGACTTTACTGTGTGTTTTGTTAATTAAATTATCAAACATGCAGTAGCAGTTCGAATTTAATATCTCAATGTAGCTGTATACTAATACACAACTACTCAAACCCGATTTTATAATAAATTTACAAGAGTTGCTCTTAATCTTCTTTCTTTTTAGCTCAAGTGGTATTTATTGCAAAACCTAAGGACATACCAATTACGATACATATCGTTTTAAGTTTAGTGTTTTAAATATCTAAGATACCATAACATAAAGGAACCTGAACATGTCTATTTGAACAATATAAGCAACGAGAAAAGCAAACAAAGACTTCTGAAAACAACGAGGAGGAAAAGGTGCCATGGAGAATAAAATGTCCCCTGCCAACCGGTCTTACCCGCCATGTGCGCCTGAATTCTTATGATCAGGAAAAAATCCGTAGTTAATTCGGCGTAAAAAAAAAAATGGCCTAACAATTTGCACAATAGGCGTCCGTCAAATTTAAACTACTGAAAGGTTATATTTCTGCTCACTCCTCCATGGCGCCTGATCCAACCTCTGATGCTTTGGAGGTCCCCGTTTGCTCTGCGCCTATTTTGTGTTGTTTTGTGGACTTTTCGTCTTGGTTGCTGTTCGTTATCTCAATATGTTTCATTATCGAGCCTTAAGTATGCAAAATGTTGACTTTAAATAAGATTATTGATATAATTGTAATATCAACTTGATTGCTGTCAATATCTTGTCTCGGATAAAAAATTCTTCGTACATAGCTTATGCTTTAGCATATCCAATCATTTATAGAAGATTAACTCCATATCTTGGTAAGTATTGTATATTTCTATATAATTAAGGGGAAACTGCCGTTAAAAAATTGAAGTCATCAAGTTTAACATGAAGTCTAGTTGTCAATATCGCCAACAATATATTTTTCTAGTGAAACATTTAAATATGAAACAGTAGAATAAGACTCCGTGGTGTCTTTTATTTCGAGTTCATTAGGATAACTGAATAATTTTGAAAATTAAACTGAATATTTTTATCTGATAAAACGTCGTCGGTATTTTCACATGTCGAACTGGGAGCATGGTAGGATAGAGGAAAATTAGCTTTTAAAATGGGGGTTAAAATTACAATTTAAGAAGTAATTGTCAACGGAATAATTTTTATGTTCATTTATCTATCATTGAATTGCAAAGTATAGTAATATGGAAAGTCTTTTCTATTAATTAGCTGTTTGATGTAATTCTTATTTGTAAATACTATAAAATGCTTCATATCTAAGATTTCTGATATGGTTTATCGGAGGACAAATCTTGGTTACTGTTTTTTATGCCGTCAAACATTATTTTCTTCAAAACTTTAAAATTTTTCTCTTTTTATTATTTGACATTTTTTGTGAAGCTTTGGTACTGAACATAAGTTGGCAAAATTTTATAAAAGATATTTTAGCATTTTGTCGGAGGTGCTGAAACAACAAAATGACCACAAAGATGCCTTAAGCTAATAAAAGTAAAATCGCGGAAAGCATTAGGATCCAATGCTGGAAAATCTTTTCCATTACCCAGAGGTGATTTGTCTGAATATCGAATATAAAACAGCAAATTTCATTATCTATCAAATCTTGCAGTCTGTTTATACAGAAATGTCTGGAACAATATCTGAAACCGCTGCCTAACATAAGTTGAATGGACAGTTATTTCTTCTTTTTAACGGTGGTATTTACACATTTTGCCTTTGCTCGCCTGGGAATCCCCCAGAGAAATGACAATGTTATCGGCATATCATTAGGATGGGTATATTCCCTGTAATCCAATTTCACAGTCTCTTTTCTCACGAGTTCAAAATGTCTGAATGAATTAAGCAGGGCCTCTAGAACGAGAATAGATGGTCTATATGATGAGGAGCTATCCTTAAAGCATGCCTGAGGTCAATTTCTCCCCGAATCTCTTATTAAATTATTTTTTTTGTCTGGTGACGTTCGTCTCGTTTCGGTAGGTTCAAGAATTAAAGTACATTTTTTTCTCCTCCGAAGGCTTGTTAATGAAATAATAACAAAATAAAAATTAAAATTCAAAAATAATTTTTCAGTTACTGGATTTTTTATGGTATCTGGGAGAGCAATATTCATGTTTTAGTCTGATAGATAATTTCCATTAACTAGGTGATTTCTTGTGAAATCCCTACGGAATGAAATGTCTTTTCTCCCTGATAAATTAATTTGTACTTGTATAATTTCCTCACATGTAGCAATGTACCTCATTTCCATCATTTCAACATGAATGTAACTCAATACATTAACATTCTTTAACTTACAACCACAATATAAAACCGAGAGACCTAGCAAAATGTGCATAAATTGTGACATATAGTTTCATTTTCAATTATGGCCCCTCCTTGGACTATTTTGGGTCACCTGTTCTTCAAACATTTTTACCTATGCATACCCATTTAAAAACTTGACCCATGTGCTGGAAACATGTTTTAACCTCTGGGGTCAGGAATCTTCAGTACTTGAGGATATTTGCAATTTAAATTGCTCTTCTTGAATAGAAAATGTTAACAAATTTTTATATATTCCTTGTCTGTACCTTTTTATCATAGTTCCGAGGAATGTAAATATTTGAAATTACAATGAAAGATGTTCAAAAATCCATTGAAACAATAAAAATTAGGATCAGAACAAATATTGACCTCTACAAACATCATATGTGGGATCAGGTGGTATAAAAGAGTATTCATCCCTTGTCGAGCGGTTACATCTGCCGTGTGCACTATATCATGATCGGGCTAATAGAAATAGCCGTAGACAAATTACTGTAGTAAAAAAAATTAATCGTATTTCTTTTTTTAAATGATTCCTCTTATGAACAATTATTATATTTCCTATTCATGTGGTGTTTAATTGAACAAGCAGAATTGAGGGTATGCTTTCCTATTGAAACGAAGCACTGCGTTATGCAAAAGTGCAATCATACATATACTCTCTTACATGATTGTCTGCTACCATCCACATTTGCAAAGACAAATTTTTCGTACATTTAATAAAATCAATAATGTAGTTATCATAAAGACAAGAGCAAAGAAAATATCAATATGTACAGTTTACGAAACAAAAACTGCAATTAAATATTATTCAGTGGTGACCTTTTGATATCAATTCTAATTGGCTGTTTTCTGCTAATTGGCTCTTTTCGACATTCAGAGAACATATAGAAAAGAATTACGAATTTATAAAAGTACATATTACAAGAAATATGTAATATTACACATTGTTTAAAGTCTAGCGTTCTTGCTTCATATTTGCTAGTCCCGAGTCTAAATATCAAATAATATTTTTTTATTGTATCATTGTTTATATATTTTTCCTACACTACTTTACAATGTATATTGAAAAACAAAAAACAAAACAGTCGCTTCAGCTACTGGTATTTTGCTGTTTTCTAAAGCACATGCAAAATTTGCAAGAGAGTAAAATATTTTTATCTGCCCTGAATGAAAACTCAGGACAGTTATTTAAACAGGATATGCTTCTTACTAAAATTTTAATTTATTTTTATATAAAGAAAAAGATTGACTTAGAAATTGCAGTAACGGTTAATAGTTGTTTTGAGAACTGGTCCAAAAGACACTTTTTGAAAAGACGTTGTCCACTTTATAGGTCTCAGATCAAGCCAATGTGATTTCGAGCCAATCACGGTGTAAAAGTATATCTAAACTGAAACCGGAATTGTTTGGAGAAATAAGAATGATGTAAAGTTTGACATGTCAAAAACACACTACAATGTGTATTCATTAATGTCTTAAATGTCTGAATCGTACAGTGTATTTGACAATGGTATCAAAAGGCGTCAGCGGTTATCAAGACACCTTATATGGTGTATATAACAATATAGTTTCAAGAAACAAGTAGCTAATTCTGTATTCTGTTGATGAAATATATTCAAGCTCAAACGTCCATTAAAAATACAAATTAGGAGCAAAGCAAACACGGACCTCTAAAACATCAGAGGTAGGATCAGGTGACACGGAGGAGTACCGATAAGCATCCCCTGATAAGAACTATGCTGATATACGAGTTTCAATTGGATTTTCACTGATAAGTTGAAATCGTTTTTCATATGTCAGTGTTCTTAGGGAACACACGCTAAATGTCCTCTACCAATAATGGTATAAAATACCTCTGAAATTTCCTTTTAACATAAAATTTTTAAGGAAATATATCTAATAATCGGTCATATTAGAACATTATTAGAGCTCAGTAACTTTTTGTTTATACCGTTGGGAAATTTTAACTAAGGAAAATCTCTAGAATGCAAAGAATGAATACAGTGTACATAGGAGCACGTGGTTGTTCTCAGAAAAAGAGATCTATAACTCAGTAAATCCCCTTCCCCTTGAAAACAAGAAGGTTCTGTCTTCTTACATTTAAAATTTTAATTAAAATGCATAATTCTTGTAACAGAATGTCTTATACCCTGTTCAAATAGTCAACTAAATATGTGTGAAGTAATATAAATTAAGAACTTAAACTTACTCATTATAAAGTTCTTACACAATCTTTTTACGATAATTACGTTTGTATCAAAAGAAATAATTGAAGTACATACCTTTTTTCGTTCAGTACAGATATTTCCTAATTGCATAAATAATTAAGATTCTTTGTTTGTTTCTATCTTTTAAACAAAATCGGGCTAATCCCCTTTTATGTTACCTTAACGTAATCAAAGTAGTTAGTTGGGTTGTAAGAGTCAGTTCATAATCAAATTACTAGTAAATCGAGAACGAAATCACCAATTGTTATTTCTGCTTGTAACTCAATCATTTTTACGTTTTTTTACCATTGTAACCTAAAACTGATGCTTGAATTGAAAAAGGCAAAATATCAGATGATGATTTCTCTTGATCGCTGAGAAAAAAGTGCGGAGAAACTTAATGCTTCAAAATAAAAGGTAATATGTATATGCAGGTACAAGGTATTTTACTGAGTACCAGTTTATGATGTTGTTTAGGTAAAACTTGCAAAGCAAAAAAAAATTACATTTTTAAGGTCTTAATTTAAAAAATTATGTATAAATAAATGTAATTTAAGAATTTTTTTTACTCACCCATCGATGCAGAAGATGGCTAGGGTTAAAAGAATTAAACTCAATACTGAGTGGGGGCTCTGAAATCCAGCTAGAGCCAACAGCATTGTGACGGTCTTGTTCGTCAAACTTTTTTGAAAAGGAAAGATGCAAAAACACTTTATATCTGCTTTTGTTTAGGTTACACAGTTTTCATTCCTTAATGACAGTATCTATCAAGTTATCACAGCGGGTAAATGGAGACCAATACTCGGCTTATAAAGATTACCGCCGCTGATGAATATTGATTTTAAAGCCATGGCAGAATCGAAGTCACGCCTCTTTTACCCAGAATCTGGTGGGCTAACACTTACTTTCACACGGTCTCCTGGCAGAAGACACGATCAACTTCCGCCTGTCACCATCTGATACCTAAATACTAGAATCGGAAACACTCCGCAATCGACCAAACAAACTGTGAGCTTTATTCAATATGAACCATAATTGGTGTTGGTTCTTTTTTCCCTTTTCTTTTAACTTGTGAAGAGCTTGAATGTGCATTTTCAGAACTGATACCAAGGTAGCAATTGAAGGAAATCTTCATTGTGATACCAGAATAATACAGAAAATTTGAGACAAGAATAGAATGGAGTGTTGAAAACGGACAACGTGTGATTTCCATTTTGATTTTGATTTTTTTTAACATTAATGTACATTAGGTCGAAAAATCTGAAAAATTATATTGGCTTGCTACCAATTCAAGGACAATATCAGTTCACAGACAGGCCACTTAAGGATAAAATAAGACAGTCCAAGGATCCATTTTAACAACCAGTTTGGGCAAAAACTCCATAAAGTATTCTAGTGAGATACCTTATTGTGACCTTGGTATTGAATATGAATATTGAATATGATTTAAAATTAATCTGGTTTGATTTTAATAAAATGCAAACAATCACTGTTTTCATGATTTTTTATTTTGTATTCATATTGAATAAGGGTAAAATTCATCCTTTCCCGTTACTCAGTATGCCTGCCCTTCAATTTGCAATTGTGAAGGCCCCAAAAACATAATAGTTAGACCTATCAATAATTTAAACTGTTTTTATGCCAATATGAGTTATGCAAAACACTTCCATTATTTTCATTACCTCCTCACGTGATTATAACAGCATATTTGCTTGTCGGACTTCAACATCTAACACACATGATCAACGTCACTTTACGACGTCGCAAAATTTTAACAGCCTTACTAAAAATCCACAAAAACTTTTACGTCTCTCGTATGCATTGTGAAAAACTGACTCATCAGATTTGAAATTCAAAATAATTCAGTGTTTGCCCTTTGTATCCAAAGTTCAAATCCCTCTTCTATGCAATGGATAACATGTATTTGGTAGTATATTACTAGTTGATCATATGAAATTTAATTATTTACAATTTTTCTTACAGATTATCCACTTTTGACCTTACAAAACAAAAACAGAGTTTTAAGATAAATTTACGTTAATATTAACACTCAAGACTATTTTTAAAAAAATTACAACCGTTCCACACGATAAATCACAAGTTAGCCCTTTTGATACCACAGAAAACTGCTTTTTCAATGGGAAAAAGAACGGAATTTTTCATATCTTATGATTGGTCATCAGCAAAATTACTTCGTTAAAATTCAATCGTATTGTTCACATGCTAGTAAGTAGATGTTAAGTAGGAGAAGAACTTTGAAGTTGACTGTAAAATGATGACGGGGTTTCCCTTGACAACATTTATGTTGTCTTTGGAGAATGTTTTTCGACAAAGTGTTGGAATTTCGACAAGCACGACATGTGCTTCTTTCTTAGCCAACCTGTTATTATATTCCTTTGAAGCAGAATTTATTCAAATACTTTCTTGAGTATAAACTTTAAGCTCGACATTTAGACAACCCGACCCCTCTATCTGAGTGAAAAATTCTCGGATGGGACGTAAATTAATACACACTAAATTCCGATATATCGCCGACGTTTTATCAAATAACAATTGTTATTTCCGCCGACGTGATTTAACTCAATAAATAAATGACACCATATAGAGTCTGTCACATCTGTTTTAGACTTGGATGTTTTACTGACTTATAAGACAACAAATACCAGCTTACAATTAAATTGTAAGACAAACGAGAAGTTTTTCCACCGTCAACTTTTCTAGATTATATTCTGCTATCACCTGCATATAGTGTTTATGTCTTACAACTCAATTCGTTACTCAAGAGCATGCTTCGATCATTTTTTTTAAAACTGAGTCAGACTACTAACACATAAATTTATGATACAGGGATTTCAATAACTCCGTTTTAAGTCATAAATTTTGAGTTCGTTATCATGACCTTCTAAGCAAATATAACCTGTCACTTGATCAAATTTTGGCTTATTTTCATACCAGTTGTTAGGCCTTTGCTTTTGTATATTCTGGAATGTTACAACTACATGTACTTGATCTAAATATAGGGCTCACAGCGGATGTGGCCGGTCAACAGGGGATGCTTACTCTTCCTAGGCACATGATCCTACCTCTGTAATTTCCAGGGGTCGGTTTACATGCATTTTCTCATATTTGTATTGTTTGTAGTTTTTATGAGAGCTATCAATGTTCATTTTCTGATTCTACGAGGATTGTTCGGAAAGTTCGTGGACTATCGCCATAAAATTAAAACCGCTTAAGATACATCAATAATTTTTTCAACATTTAAGTAGCATGACCTTTTTTATTTATTTAATAAAGTGTGCATCATTAGTTTTATTTTTAATAGATTGTTGATATTTGAGAGCAATGGTATGTCTCGCAGATGTACACGACACAACTAAATTAACTGTTAATTGACTATTTTAGATTAAAAACGTCAAAACGCCAAAATTTCCTATACGGTAAGTTGATGTGACTGCGAGAAAAACATTTTATATGAGCATTTGTCATCCAAAAATCCCGTTAATTCACTCATGATGTATGACACAATTGTACCATAAAATTTGCATTTTTTACGCTATTCTGTAAGTTCTTTGAAATTTTATCGCTTTTATATGAAATGTCCAAACAATTAAGGGGTTGAAATGACGTCAGAAAGGGGATGAGTTTCTTCTTCTAATATTCTATTGAATTTCGCCCCCAGGAAAAACTGGCATAGATGTAAGAAATATTAAAAAGGGCTACTGAAAAATAGATGAATTCAGGGTACTTGTTTTATAAATGCCAAAAAATATTAGAGAGACGAGAGAAATAAAAGTTTATGCCGACTTTTAGTAAGGGTGCTCAAAGTTTGTCATGTCGAAAAGTGACGTTGATCATGTGTGAAAGATGTTGAAGTGCAACAAGCAAATGTGCTGTTATAATCAAGTGAGAATCTTTCACTAAGGATAAATCTATCTTCAATATGCCATGAAATCAGCTGTTCATGACATTGTACAATCAAATAAACAAAACCGGTTTAAATCTCCAAGGAATCTCATCAAGATAATTGTATGAGGTAGAAAATGCGGACCTCGATAAACAATGACGTCATGAAACTAAATGGCGACAGAGCAGGGTGATTATAAATTGTGTGTGTTTTTATTTGAGGTAAATTTTATAAATATTCAATGTATCAAGATTAAATTTTCAACATTTCTTTAACTTCTGTTGTTCGATGTTCCTTAAAAATTTGGTAAGCATAGAATACATAGTATCAATTTTATTGCAGCAGTTCAAGAACTTTTCGAACAGCCCTCGTAGATCTTCACCCTTTATGTAACGTTTCCTGTATTATATAAAAATAATTCAATACGATTAATATATTTGCTGATTCAAGGTTAATGCAATGATTTAGCTTCCCGGGAGTATGATAATTTGAACATTTATTGAATATCAAATGTTGGCAAGTGATGATATTAACAATTTTTTTGAGAGTTGATCCTTTTCTGTCATAAAACTCACACTTATTGAACTAAAAGTATCATTTTGACTGCAAAGGAAGAATAAAAGAGGCTGATCATATTTAAGCTTCTTTTTCATGACAGATTATTTATATGACTTTATTCGTAGGGTGTTATATAAGTCAATTATTACGGTTTATTTCCTTTTAACATCTCGATTTTCTCGTAAGTCATAACACATTGTTAAACAAATGCTTTTGAAATATCCATTCAATTATTAACTTGCAAATTCATAAAAAAAGTTAATACATATCTTAATGCTAATGCCCAAAAGCTGTGAGTATTTATGGTTAAGAAAAGAATTTTTTTATTCGATAGTGATTTACATCGAAATTTGGCGACTTTCAAAAGCGGGGTTTAGATAGTGGTGAAAGCAGAGAGAAACTTATCTTCTCTCACATTGTTAAACGAATATTGGTCTAGCGCAGAAACCGCGTCCGATGATCTTTTTCAGTAATGTAATACCAAGAGAATTCAATCTGATCTTTTAATTCAATCATATGTTTCCTTCTATTGAAAGGTTTTTAAAACAACTTTAATTCTGGGAAATGTGTTTTATTTTTCATTATCAAATCAAAAGAAAGCTGTATCTGATAATTCAGTATTTTTTCACAAAAGACTAATTTTTATATTGTAGTGAGTATCGATAAAAAAAATTTCTCTTCTTAGGGCAATTAAAAACACAAAACTTCGATTTTGAGGGGTAAATTGTTATAAGTAAATCCGTTTTGCTGTGCAAAAGGTAATGTTCTGATGTGGAAAGCAAATCTGTTCTTTTAATTGATTAAGTACCTAAGATAACTTGCAGATCTGTAATTATCGCACAATATTCTTATAGTTTCTTCAGTTACTTAGTGTATGCTTCACCAGCGATAAATTTTGGAGTAAAACACTTTTTTATTAAGGATATAGCAATCTATCTAGGCATTGTTGAAAGGTCAATACAATTCTCACTGGAAATAATGAACTTTAAAACAGAAAATGAAGAATCTCTTCATCCTTTTGACTTCAGTTTAATGTAATTTAAAAATATATGAAAGATTTTTTGGCTTGTAAAAAGAATTCGTCTTCTGACACACTTTTTGGTAAACACTTTTTTTATGGTTCTGCAATACAATAAGCTTATAATTCAACACTTATGTATTATGGACAGACAATGAAAAAGAGGGATACGGTCTTCTACTAATACAGTCAATAGTACATTTTATAGCAAAAACATATCTGATAATGCTTCTGTAAAAAAAAAAAGAATCCAAGAGATAAATTCTTTGATTATGATTTTATCATTCTATTTTCCTCACGACAAATAGACGATAAGATAAATATCATTTTTTCTAATTCAAACGAATTCCATAATGCGGTCCTTCCTGTTAGAATTTGTCTCCTACTTAACA